AAAAACACGGTGATACCAAAATGAACACGTCTAACTTTTCAAAAGAACGTGGATAAAACCGCACTGTGACCTACTCGAGTGTAGTCTCAATATGACACTCCCTTGACGCTAACGTGGACCTGAAAAATCACGTCACTGCCCGGTATCTGGGCGTCCGTGTGATATATTGTATAATTAGTATACAAAATAGGTGAACAACGGCCGACCGTCGAAGGCAATACTGACCACACTTTCTTTTTGTAAATGTTCAAACGTTATCATTCATCAGTGATCACATAATATTTTTACACGTCGTATACAACAGCAACTGTCACGTTCAGCAGTCGGTATGATCCTTGTGCTCGAACGGTGTTCGCATATGAATCCAGTGGCTGGAGTGCGAGGCGAAATTCGTAGAAATATATTATACAGTAATAACAGTACACTCTTGTTTAGTAACTTGTTTTAGAAACAAATCTACTAAACTTTAATGTTAATAATAATTTATTTTAACCATTTAGTCGTTATGGCGATTTAAAAAAAAAAAAAAAACAAATTTTTACGAGTCTTTTAAAATATTTGTTTTTTACTAGAAATCTTGTCCGAAACTAAAAAAACAACGAGAGCGCTTTTATGTAGCGCTTTGGATCTAGGTAGTGCATCGAGAGGAAGCCATTTTTTGATTTTCCGAGTAGTTTTCATAGTAGTTTTTAAAAACTAGAAGTACATATTGGAACGTCCAAGGACCAGGTTCTCAGGAACTTTTTGATATGATAAATGACAATAAAAACTTTTTGACAATTTATCATAATAATAATCATTTCCTATATTACCAGTAGTCATTTCCATTATGTTATCATCAAAATGAAAGAAAAATTGTCTCCAACCAACTCCCCCGTCAAAAAGAAAGCTCTTTTTCTGCTCCGTTGCCGCGCAATTTAAACAGTCTTTTTGAACGCACCTCGAAAACCCACGCCAAACAAATAAATAAAAACGTATATAGAAAAAGAACAAAACAAAGCCATTTATAGTTTTTTATTATAAAGGTTGTATGTAAATACGACCGGTTTTGTTTTGTTCTTTTATTATCAATCGATTGATTAATTTATTTTGCATATATACCTGTATAAATATAATATATTTCATTTACAGAATGATCCACTCAACTACTGGAAACACTCATTATCTCGGAAAGTATTAACTTTTCCCGGAATTTTTTTTTTGAAAACTTAAGAATAAAATGTTGTCACTTTTATTTTTAGGGGCGAAACTTTTAAGTTTTGGTCGAGGGAGATGAGTTATGAGATATTATTTGTGTGGCGGCACGGCGTGCGGCGTTTTAACATTGCACCATTCCTCTCCCACGACCCAAAATTAAAAGTGGAATATCTCGTCAACGGGTTTGATGGAAATCAAAAATGTCAGCATCAAAATTTATTTTAACTAATACTCCATCTATTTATGGAGTATTTAGTATAATAGGCTGCCATTTGAAATTTAAAAGAAGCTAGTGGTTTTACCACCAAAAATGATGATAAAAGGTAACATAAATGTAAAATTGGAGAGCTGTTTGTTAATTAAGTTTTTAAAAAAAAAAATTCCGAAAAAGTTAATACCTATCCACTTCCCGAGATAATAAGTGTTTCCAGTCGAGTGAATCGCCCTGCATACTTGCTAGGTGATCAATCTTCATTATCAGAAAGCATTAAGTTTTTTCTGAAGTTTTTTTTTAAATATATAAGAAATAAGTTGCAGCTCTAAAACTTTACATAACCGGTAAATCTTTTGTCACTTTTATTGTTAGGGTTGAAACCGCACTGCTCACTATTAATTTCCAAATAGCGATCTATATTAAAATTTTCATAAATTATACATTACATTCCCCCTACCCGAACTTAAGTGGAAGTGGAATATCCGATCTGCAACGGGTTGACGAAAATTAAAAATGTCAATATAGGTATTAAAATGTATTCAAATTAATAGTTAATCTACTTATGTAATTTTTAATATAGTTTAATAGTTTAATATAGCTGTATTATAGTTGTCATTTGAAAATCATTAGTAGGTAGTGGTTTCATCCACACAAATAAGGGTGGCAACGAATTTCGGTAATATAATATTTGAGAGCTGCTTGTTTCTTATGCTAATATTTCCATAGAATGAATAACAAACAAATTAATACTTATAGAGATAAGGATTGATTGCACTACCGTGTATTATTGTTTGTTTTAGATAAAATATAATTTTTTTTTCATATATATATATTTTTTTTTTCAAATTATATTTTAAACAAAATATTTTCGTCTTATTTGTTTAGTAGTGATGATGAATATAGGTGTAAGTCTGGTCAATGTATTGACAGCACAGCTACTTGTGATGGAATTCGAGATTGTCGAGACGGATCTGATGAGACATTAACTTTATGTAAAACGAACAAGTAAGCTAATTTGGAGTTTTAAATTTGAGTTTAAAAAAATCTTACCTAAAAAATGTCTTTTATTGAATGTTTTAGATGTCCAAACTATCTGTTCCAGTGTAAATACGGTGCTTGTGTCGGTGGTGATAGTAAATGCGATGGTGTAGAACAGTGTGCCGATGGTTCTGACGAAGAGCGTTGTCACATTACGACTTCAAGACCAATTGTAACTGCAAAACCAATAAGTACTAGGCCACCTACAATTAATCCATCAACACAGTATAATAAAATGTAGGTATCATACATTTTGTAATTATTAATTTATGAAATAATGTACAGGTTTCAAAAATAATATTTTTACTATGGTAGAAATTCTAATGCGAATTTAATAATAATGATAAAGAATCAAATAAATAGAAGACTAAGATAAAATTAATTATTTTCGTGTTATTTAATTAAAAGAAAAGGATGTGTTATACCAACCATTGAAGGAACTAGATATTATCGTAAAAATGAGAATAAAATAACTTTTTTGTCATCGGGCACTACTGTTAATCAGAACAAATTGGTTTATGAGGACTGTGAAGCAGATTATTATAAAGTTGTTCCTACTAGATTTATGGTGTGTTTGGAATCCGGGCAGTGGGAACCATTGGTTCGCGATCAATTATGTTTGAGTAAGTATTACTTTGAGTTAGTATTGTAACACTTTTTATAACGTTTGATTCATTATTTTTATGTGCATAAGTAGATTATTTTTATAATTTGATTGTGTTTCTAGAAAAATGTCCACCTATGACGTCAGACAGTCTAGATATTCAATGTTCTTATAACGGAGAACCAGTTGATTGTGCAAAGCCATCAATAAATGGTACTAAACTAAGACCATCTTGTAAATCAACACATAGTTTACCAAACGGACAATTAGAGACTCCGGTCGTATTATATTGTCGACCTAATGGAAAATGGAGTGGTGAATTATATAAATGCATTCCTAGTAATATTGTGTTTTTGTAAATTAAAAGTTAACACATTTCAGTATGTGACCATGTTTTTTAATATATATACTTTATAAAATTATTTAGATTGTGGTCGAACAATTGTTACAAGTAGACCATTGATTGCAAATGGTGTGCCAGCAAAATACGGAACTGCACCTTGGAATGTGGGATTATATAAATCGAAAGGTGGTATTTATGATATGATATGTGGCGGATCGTTGATTTCATCAAATTTAATTGTGTCTGGTAAAAACTGAGCAACATATTTAAAATCCTTGTACATCATTAATTTTCATGTAACTATAAGAATTACGTATACCGTTAAAATAAACATCTCTCATTCTAGGCTTATTTTACGCTATAAGGCATTACAATATTTATTATTTATATTATTCATTTTTAATATAATATAATTGTCTATTGAATCAATATCTGGAGATGAGCAAAATAAAAAAAAAAAAAAATGAAAATAAGCCAACTATTGAATGCTACAAAACAATATTTATTTTTTAATATTCATTATTAATCTATGAACACATTAACGAACAATTATACAAATTATTTTTTAGCCGCTCATTGTTTTTGGTCAGAAGGGTTAATAGAAAGGGTATTAAACTATACAGATTTGTATAAAATTGGTGTTGGAAAATATGAAAGAAATATCTCAGTAATGGACAATGAGTTTACTCAGATTTTTGATGCAAGTAGATAATTAGTATAATACAGTTAAAATTGTATAAGTTATAAATAAATTGCATGTTTTAAAAATATTTAATAAACATTATAGGTGCAATCAGTTTACTTGAAAAATGAATTTTATGGACAATCTGGATTTTATGCTCACGATATAGCAATTATTGTATTACCAACTAAAGTGAAGATTAGTAATGTTGTTTTGCCTGTCTGCGTGGATTGGACAAGCAAAATTACTATACCCAATGGATCTTTAGGAAAAGTAAATTATATGCATTTTTATTGATTAAGTCTTGAAAAGATTGTATTGCTTTATTAATAGTTCAAAGAAATTAATTTTTCACAAATTTTTTTTTAGGTTGTTGGATGGGGAAAAACGGAACACATGGAACTAAGTTCTATTTTATTAGAAGTTTCTATACCTTCTATCAACCAGATTGCTTGTAGAAATATGTATAGAAATGGATTTGAAGTGTTTGTGACAAGTGATAAATTTTGTGCGGGTTCTAAATTGGGTAATAAAAGTTAATACTTGGATACTGTGAATTTGTTTTACACTAAGGTATTCATTTTTATAGTATTACAGGGTTTATGTTTTTATTTTATCACATTATTAATAGATATTTAGCATTGGGTAGGTATATATGAATTAGTTAGACATAAATTAAATTCACCCCCGTATCTTACCGTTCCAACTATTCATCTACAATAGTAGCCCACCCACGTGCGAAGTATGACCATCTTTTTAATATTATCATCATAAATAATAATTTTTTTTCACCTGATATTTTAATATTTCGTAGTATTTACTAAGCATAACTGTTCATAATTAAATTAGAATTATAATCTAAATTTTTGTCACAAAATTTATTTATTGATTAATTTCAGGACAAGGGGTTTTAGAAGGAGATAGTGGTGCAGGTTTTACACAGGCGTATGGCCCAATGGGATTACAATATTTAATGGGAGTAGTAAGTAATAAGAATCGAGACTCGGATGATCCAATCGCACTTTTTACGAACATTAGTCACCATATTCAATGGATTCGTGAAATATATACCAATCTTAATGAAATTTAAATCAAAAATTGGGTTGACAAAAGTAACATACCTTTTACATATGTTGTAACAGATAATTTGTTTAATGTAACATGTATAGTTACATTAATACAGATATAGTTATTAGTTAATTAATAGTTTTAATTATATTTATAAATGTCATTGCCATACTACACTTATTGTAATATACACTTAACAAAATATTTCAAAATTATGTATATTGTTGAAGAAGTAATTAAACTAATAGAATATTTTAATTTCTGGAGAAATTTAAAATGACCCCCTTTACCTACACCACTAACAGTATTATTCAGGTGGTTTAAACAAAACAAACATTTTTGAACATTCCATTTTTAATTGACTGAAAATCTTTAAAAATTGGTTTTCGAGTAATTTATTGCACAAAATAAATAATACTTAATGTACCCATTTAATTGTAAAATTATAAATTGTATACACATCATTACAATTGTTGACAATTTTAAATTTGTCAAAAATAATAAAATGAAAAGTTATTTAGTTTTTTTATCAAACCATAAAAAGTTAATTACAATATAAATATTTGTAATCCTTATTTCCATGGGTAATATAAAAAAAAAAAAAAAATACAGAATTTGATTGTCTTTATTACAATGGGTATGTCTTTGTGGGATAATCTGTATATTTTTGTCAAGTTTTTAGTAATATTTTTAAATATGAAACAGAGTTGTGGGTTTGAAATCATCGGAAATTACTGATATATATATATTTTAATATACAATATAATTTATTTCTCTATATTGGACACGCAATAACGTACGGGGAGGATGAGGAAGAACACTAAAATGTACTTATTATAGTTATTCTAGTATTATTAAGCCTTTTTAATACACTCGTAGCAAACATTGATATTATATTCAGAATTTATGTTCGTGTCTAAAGATTTACTACGTATCACAAAAATATTGCCGTCCGCTCAAGTTAAAGAATGTATAAGCATGCCAATTTATTATTATTTAATAAGTAGGTACCTATTGGGTATTTGTACTATAAATTTGAATAGAACCCAATGTTATTGAAAAGTAATGTAGGTTATTTGTTGAAGCAATTTACGATTATTGAATTATAAAATAATAATATATTCAATGTCCATAATAAAAGGCTCGAGCAATATTCGCATAAATAAATTTAACCGCAAATTTACCCGAAGTCCCTGCGGTTGGCACGCAAGCTCAAATAATAATAGGTACCAACGTTATCTAGCCATTTGCGTACAGAATTAAATATAATTCTGGCAAGCTATCCTTACGTGCCATAATATTATTGTCGATAATTACAATCGATTGCATTTTGTCGTTGGATATACCTTCACAATAATTTATGAAATAGACATTTCGGAACGTTCTTGGCCGAAAATCGTTTGTATAAACCGCATAAACGTTCAAATTGCCTACCATCAACCCCTTAGATTGATAATAAAATAATTAAATTGTACTCTATATTGTTATTTTCAATAAATTCTAATATCATATAAAATCCGTACACGTCCAAATGCTCGCAGGTAGACACTTTTCTTGAAAATGTTCGTGTACATTACGCTTTTTATTGCTCTAATGTTATACACAACCGTACGGCTTCTACGCAATCCAAAACGTTAACTGTTTGAGTACGTTTTCAAAATAGTGCGCCTATACATTTATTATGTTGTTCACAGAAAAACTATGTTTGCACTTTACGACCGATGACTATAAATTATATGTAGACTGGTCAAATTATAATTGTTTGTGAAATAATTGTTGCGCATAGTCTGTCTTTCATTAATCGACAAAAAGTCGATGTCGTTTATTTCGGCGGCGGGTAAATAATGGGTAAATGTGCAAATATTATGAAGACATGAGTACCTTATGGCCAAGCGTTTGCTGTCTTTGAGTTTTACAATAATCACAGTTAGCCTAACGGCTAAAGGTTAACTGCGTAGCAATTGTTTATAATTTTAAAATGTACCGCATTATATTATAATATATTATTCCTTCACGATAGTGATGAAGCGAATCGTTAGACCGCGCGAGCTTTTATCGTTGAAACAATATTGATAGGTGAATACTCGTAAATTGTATTCAAATATCTAACACAATGTTTTATTATATCATTACAAACGGACAAGCACAATTCAAATTACAGTCAATTACGCAATATTCGTACGATTTAATACAATACGACTAGTAAAAAAAATATACTTTTAATGATTAGTAAATCGGTGTCATTGACCGGCAACTTGCCTTTCGTACAATGCAAAATCCTTGATCTGATAATGGTTAAAAGTTTATAACACAAAACTGTCAAAAAGCGCGTCCTCTATCATTGGAAAATTAAATTTGTATTGCGCATTATATGAACGAGTACAGAGTGCAGCACTTCGGACCGTCCAGATTATTATAATATTGTATATTAAATTCGATTTTGTAATATTTAATATTTTACATTCAGTGTAGCGAAAAAACCGTTATTTTTTTAAAATACCCGCGTATAATACTTTTACGGTTAGTAAAATAAATCCGATATTTTTATGCTTATCTAACTTATAGGATGTCTATAATTTGCTGGATGGTATTTTATTTGAAACATATTTCGAAATTTTCAATACTTTTTCCGAACAATTTCTTTTCTTTTTGAACAATTGGTTAGACAAATGTTCCCAATTTGTGTTTAAGCACAATGACAAAAAATTTATAGAATTTCTGGCTGGTGGTACTTTAGTTGAAACATTTTTCTAAATTTTTAGCAGAACATCATAAAAATCGAGACTATAACAAACTGATGGTTACAATTATTGACGAATACCTAGAGATCCTACCTAGACCTAAACGCAGCTTATGTTTTCTACAAAAAATATTGCTCCAAAAGAAGAAATACAAAAGATCTTTTTTGTTGCACTCTTAATCTAGCTGGTGAATAAAAAAGTAGTTTTTAGATTTTTTCTGTAATTTTATAGAAAATTAGGAAAATAGGAAAAAAATATAAAATTAAAACTGATAAATTTACGGCGTTACGATTTCATTATTTTAAATTTTTACGGCTTGTGATTTTTACCGAAAATATCGCTCCAATGGAAAAACAATAAGAGACATTTCTTGTTGTGTTTTTAAAGTTGTTGGTTAATAAGGAAAATATAATTCGATTTTATATGATAAATCACCTTACTTTGTTTATCGATCTTAGATAACTGTATCTCATCTCTCTTGGAACAGTAATACGATTTTCAAAGCATATTCATACCTTTATTTAAGATGTATATTTATAAGTACCAACCTTTTTAAAATTAATCTTAATATATGTCATATAGAATATTTATTTCCTTATCAATAAAATCAGTAACCATAACACATGACTATGCGAACATACATAATGGAGAAACAATGTGTTCTGAACATGTGTTTAAAACGGTAAATGTATAAAGAGAAATGAAGATTTAGAAATATTATTTTTGAACAAGTTTGACAACAAATGAACATTTTCAATTATTCAAAATCAAAGAGTGTAATTACCTATATAAGCTATATAACCTATATAACCTATTCTAATCCAAATAATACTATAAATAATATTTCATTCACACTTAATTTCAACTATGAAAAATGAATAATGTTATTTCAATTGCTATTATTTGTATAAGTGTTTCTTAGCTCTTTTTTGCAAGTTCAATCGAATGATTTAATTAAACCAATAAAATAAAAGGTACCAATTGTCACAAATGTTGAATTCTCACAATTACCATTCCTATATTACCAAGTCTTACTAAAAAGGTACTTACTAATAAATAAAAAATAATATTAAAAATAGGTACTTAATAATGAAATAAACAACTTTAGTACCTAAACATTTATTTTTATTATCATCATAAATCTAAGTGTACAGGTCTTATTTAAAAAATAATAGATTATAAAATTCTTTGAAAAATTTTCATATTTTCTTAAAATTCTTAAAATTTAAAAAAAAAAAAAAATTAAGGAACATAAAAACTTAAACGCATTGAAATAAATAGATAGTAGTACATATATCTAAAGAGTCTTAAATTCGATCAAATTAGCGTCCATTTAATTAGTCTCCATTTTGTTGTCTCCCTCTTTCTTTTCTACGTTTGCAGATACTTTAATGCTGGGCTCGTTGGTCTGAATAATCGGGATCGATATTTCCTCTTTATTTTCATTAACGACCTAAATATTTTTACATCATTATTATTTTTTACCTGGAGTCTGAACAAAAAAAATTTTATAATTACATACCTTTTTAGGAGCACCAATGCTGAGCACACCATCCGATGATAAAGACGATTGAATCAATTTTTGGTCAACATTTTCTGGGATTTTGTAACGACGGGTAAATTGACGAGAAATGAAACCGTGTTCATCAACACGTTCTTCATGTTTTCCATCGATTACAATGTAATCGTCGACCACCTTTACATTGACCTCGTCAGGTTTGAATTGTTGGACGTCCAAATTTACTTTAAAGCCTTCCTCGTTGTTGTGAATTTGAGACAAACCGCTTTTAGGCGCAGCAACAAGACGCATGGGTCTCCGATATACTCTGAGTCCTAAAGGGTCGGCTCTGACATGAGGAATGTATTCATCTGGCACTAACATATCGTCCAACAGTCCCAGACCAAAGTGTTGATCGTATACGGTTGGGCGTGAAAGGTTCTCCAATAAAAACGGTAAAAGAGACATCTGTAAAAAAACAGATAGAAATGTACACACGCCTAAGTTATTAACAACTTTACTAAATCGTTGGATAACGTATGATGAAGTACCTATCTATACATCCTGCTAGACCTATGCACATTTTTGGATTACTGTGTAATAATACTATAGAGAATACAAATTGAAGTTTATAGGTGTTATGATATTATAATAAAATATCTATTTTTATTTTTGGATTCGGAGCCAAAGGATCTATTGGTCTTATCAGATATTTACTGCGCGTTTTTTAATTTTTCTATCTGTTTACTATTTTTCGAACAGAAAACTTGCTCCAATCGAAAAATTAGCTTTTTTGTTTAATTTCAATCTATTTGGTGATAGTAAGAAAGCCGTTTTTGATTTTCCCTGCACCTAGTTTTGTTAATAGTTTAANAAAAAAAAAAAAAAAAAAAATCATCGACCAATTACGATTATAACAAGGGATTACGGGCGTACATAGAAAATTAATTATCAGTACAGATTATGTACAATACGAAAAAAATAATAACAAATTCCTTACAAATGTTAAAATCCACAGAACGACCGTCCGATAAGTATGACAATAAATTTAAATTTTAAAACGATGTTCATACTAAAATACGTACCTTCTACGATATAAATCCGAATGGGATACGACGGTAAGAAATCGCTTCGTAATATGCCGCAAAGTCTGAATGCGTTTTTATTTTTTGAAGTGCGTTTTGGAAACGACGAACAAGCGCGAACAGGTACGTACGATGAAAACAAACTGACGGCGGCGAGACGGCTGCCGGCGTATTTATTAGTGGGAGAACATTCGAGAATAACGATATCGGCGCGGAGGCAGAATATTCGAGAATCCTCGAGTAACCTAAACCGCGTCGACGACGATGGGCGATGCCGTTTCCTATCAAAATCGGTACCCTGTGCCAGAAAAATTTTACCAGCGATCAGAAAAAAATAGACTGACATACCTCGGCACGATGGGTGGACCACTGTTGTAGGTCAGAAGTTGGGAAGGTAGGATATAGTTGAGATCATAATGCATACCTATCTGTACGCAACGTTTAATTCTTTGCTAACAAAAAACGGTTCTGAGTGAAGTATGATTAAATAATGCTTCGAAAATCCTTAATATTTGCAATTTTCGTCGAAATTTGATTATACAATTCTTACAAAAAAAAAATCTACATTAAAACAGTTTTCCGACCACTAAGTGTGACTTATAACGATTATCCTACCAAATTTTCAAGAAATTCTGTTTGGTCTTAAAATTTCACCCCCACAGTACCTATGTACCGAATAAACATGACATAAAACAACCTACAAAATTAACATGTCTGTAAATAGTTCAAAGATGGCTCAAATATTTTGTAAATTTTATAACGTCTAGAAAAGGCGAAGATAATTTTTTAGTCTACATTTCAAGTCTTTACGAATATTTTTAACCAAATTACAAAAAAAAATTAAAATTGAAAATAACAAGACCATTATTTTCGTAAATGGTTCAGTTCTTTTTGCATTTTTTTTCGGTTTTGCTCAATTATTAAAAAATACACGGGAAATCAAATAATGGTATTTTAATCACTTATTAGATCCAAAATGCTACAAATAAAGTTTGTTGTCTATGTTTTGATTCAAGAAATATTTTAAGTAAAAAACACGAGTTACAAAAATGCAAAATCGTAAAATTGTTGCACCGTAAATATTTGTCAGTAAGACATATTTTAAAATGTCGTAATTTGTACGATTCTCGGCGAAATTTGTTTTAACAAAAAACCAAAATGCCGTACACTGTCGTATTTCGTACGTTTTTTCTGGTTTTTCGTAATCATTAGATAAACCAAACAACGACTTTCCAACTCACAAACTAGACAGAATTTCCTTTCAAAGAATAATGTTTACTTGAAATTTGGATAGAGATTTTTATTATTTATCAACCGTTTAAAATGTTTAAATTATAAGACCATTTTTCTTCAAATGTACAATCGCTTTTCAGTCGAATAAACATAATTTTATATAAATATACCAACAATGGTTGGTGAACAATATTCTACAGTGAAACGTAGCAATCGGATTTGTTTTATATTTCAAAATTATAAAGAACAATAAGAACTGCACATTCATAATACTTATTGATTTATTTGAATTAATTTGCGTTAGGCTTCTTAGGTACATATTTGGCTTTATGCCAAATTATTCAACTCTGGTAGTTTTGACATCGCAATAATCTATCTGATAGGTATTGAATTTGTTTGTGCTCCTATATTTAATAACAATAATAATTTATGATAATATTTCATATACGTAACTAAAAAATGATAGTTCTTTTATAATATAGTTTTTGAAACAATATAAGATGGTAAACGATAAAAATACGGATAAAAAAGGAAAAATGTCCAAATATCCATAACGGCCATAATTCAAAATGCTATAAACAAAAATCTATCAAATATAAATCAAAATGCATTTTTAAAAATTGATACAGTTTAGAGGTAGGTCACTGTTTTGATAGGAATACTAGTTTATATATTGTATGCAACGATCATTACAAACGAATAACGAGTCTGAACTTCAAATGCTATAATGTTATTATTAACAATAACGCAAACATTTTTAATTATCTATGAAATAATATACATTTTTAATGCGATTTCGGTTAAATATTGTTAGATATTGGCGGACCTTTGTAAATGTTAGCAGAAACGAATAGAACACCCGTGGAGTGTACGGCGTTGTCGGGAAAACTAACCCGGTGTTCCACCGTGGAGAGGGAGGGGGAATAATGTCCATCACCGTCCGTTGGTTCAATAGCTACTTAAAACGATATGCTAGTTTGGGTTTCATTAAGTGCACTGCACCAGTCCCCAGTAAATTAAATTATTCTTATTTGCGGTTCCGCCAAACAGAACGAATATACGGGGGCGAAGTGGGAACCAAATTCAACAGGGAGATTAAAATTCATCTAGGTCAGGCGCGGATCCACGGGAATGATGGCGATGGGAGCGATCCCCTCTCAACATAAACTTTTAAAATTATTACTAGCTGTTATTATTTTATTACCAACGAAACATAGTTACACAAATGTATTTTACATAAAATAGAAAAATTTACTTTGCCTCATAATATCTAAGTAAATAATAAGTAATTTTTAAATTTCAGACATTTTAATTTTTAAATGATTTTTATTATTCTGATTATCTGATTGCACGTCACCGGAAACCGTTCAATCGCTAATAATAAATAATTAACATTCACTTCATATATGGTCATATTAATATATAATACGACTCGATCATTCGTAAAGTCGTGTATTCATCATAGAAATAATACAAATAATTAGCCTTCATTGGCCATACGCGTTAAATAAAAAAAAAAAGATAATTTAATTTTTGAAAATTCGTTTCCCATCTCGGAAATCTTCTAGATACGTCTAGAATCTAAATCGCCTAATAAAATACACAGATACCTACCAAACAAAATTGTCTACTCGCTACCGAGTGGATCACGAAAAATGTGCAGTTTGTCAGTTTGGCACAGAGTACCGATTTTGATAGGAAACGGCATCGCCCATCGTCGTCGACGCGGTTTAGGTTACTCGAGGATTCTCGAATATTCTGCCTCCGCGCCGATATCGTTATTCTCGAATGTTCTCCCACTAATAAATACGCCGGCAGCCGTCTCGCCGCCGTCAGTTTGTTTTCATCGTACGTACCTGTTCGCGCTTGTTCGTCGTTTCCAAAACGCACTTCAAAAAATAAAAACGCATTCAGACTTTGCGGCATATTACGAAGCGATTTCTTACCGTCGTATCCCATTCGGATTTATATCGTAGAAGGTACGTATTTTAGTATGAACATCGTTTTAAAATTTAAATTTATTGTCATACTTATCGGACGGTCGTTCTGTGGATTTTAACATTTGTAAGGAATTTGTTATTATTTTTTTCGTATTGTACATAATCTGTACTGATAATTAATTTTCTATGTACGCCCGTAATCCCTTGTTATAATCGTAATTGGTCGATGATTTTTTTTTTTTTTTTGGAGGTATACCTCTACAATGGTCATCATGGATTTTTTGAAAATTTAAAATTTTTACGTTTTGAACAAAAAAACCATTATTTTCGTAAACTTTCTTGTTCTTCTTTTTTTTCCCAGCGTTGTTAAACTNGAAATTAAACAAAAAAGCTAATTTTTCGATTGGAGCAAGTTTTCTGTTCGAAAAATAGTAAACAGATAGAAAAATTAAAAAACGCGCAGTAAATATCTGATAAGACCAATAGATCCTTTGGCTCCGAATCCAAAAATAAAAATAGATATTTTATTATGATATCATAACACCTATAAACTTTAATTTGTATTCTCTATAGTATTATTACACAGTAATCCAAAAATGTTCATAGGTCTAACAGGATGTATAGATAGGTACTTCATCATACGTTATCCAACGATTTAGTAAAGTTGTTAATAACTTAGGCGTGTGTACATTTCTATCTGTTTTTTACAGATGTCTCTTTTACCGTTTTTATTGGAGAACCTTTCACGCCCAACCGTATACGATCAACACTTTGGTCTGGGACTGTTGGACGATATGTTAGTGCCAGATGAATACATTCCTCATGTCAGAGCCGACCCTTTAGGACTCAGAGTATATCGGAGACCTATGCGTCTTGTTGCTGCGCCTAAAAGCGGTTTGTCTCAAATTCACAACAACGAGGAAGGCTTTAAAGTAAATTTGGACGTCCAACAATTCAAACCTGACGAGGTCAATGTAAAGGTGGTCGACGATTACATTGTAATCGATGGAAAACATGAAGAACGTGTTGATGAACACGGTTTCATTTCCCGTCAATTTACCCGTCGTTACAAAATCCCAGAAAATGTTGACCAAAAATTGATTCAATCGTCTTTGTCATCGGATGGTGTGCTCAGCATTGGTGCTCCTAAAAAGGTATGTAATTTTAAAATATTTTTTGTTCAGACTCCAGGGAAAAAATAATAATGATGTAAAAATATTTAGGTCGTTAATGAAAACAAAGAGGAAATATCGATCCCGATTATTCAGACCAACGAGCCCAGCATTAAAGTATCTGCAAACGTAGAAAAGAAAGAGGGAGACAACAAAATGGAGACTAATTAAATGGACGCTAATTTGATCGAATTTAAGACTCTTTAGATATATGTACTACTATCTATTTATTTCAATGCGTTTAAGTTTTTATGTTCCTTAATTTTTTTTTTTTTTTTAATTTTAAGAAATTTAAGAAAATATGAAAATATTTCAAGGAATTTTATAATCTACTATTTTTTAAATAAGACCTGTACACTTAGATTTATGAATAGATAATAAAACTAAATGTTTAGGTACTAAAGTTGTTTATTTCATTATTAAGTACCTATTTTTAATATTATTTTTTATTTATTAGTAAGACTTGGTAATATAGGAATGGTAATTGTGAGAATTCAACATTTGTGACAATTGGTACCTTTTATTTTATTGGTTTACTTAAACCAATTAAACCAATTGATTGAACTTACAAAAAAAAGCCAAACATTTAGTTTATATAGCTATGATTAAAAATAATATTATATAATCTGACGCGTATTTGTGTGTGTGTGTCGTTTTCTTAGAAATTATCAAAACCATTGTTGTGTGTTTTGGCATATTGTAAATATTTGTACATTGATATAGAATCTTAGATGTATATTAGCATGTGCAATAGTTGCGTTGCAAAAGTTAAGAGATGGTTTAGATCCGCGTCTGGTCCAGGTATGGGAAAAAAAAAGAAGTTTATATTTAAAGAATTTCTTAGAACAATTATAAACTCGATTCACAGATTTAGCAGTAGTAAATAATTATATAGTAATGAAATAGATATTTTAAAAGATCGTATCTGTGTATAAAAGCTCGAAGTTCCTATGTAAGGAATTCAGATTGCATCATTCACTACCGGCATATTATGTTCTGAACGATTATTAATACCGTGTACCTAACCACTATAGATGTTGAACCAGCATTATTTTGGCGGTAAATTACCACCGGTAATGCGTTCATAGTAGGAGAAAGCTGAGTGATTTTAGCACGAAAATGATCCTCGCGATAATCTCTTACTATTATATTATTATACTTGCCACGGCCAAAATCCGCAACTCGGGAAATCGGTGATAGGTTGTCTGAATTTTTACCATACCAATTTTTACACGCAATATTTTACGCCTATATAAATTCGTGGGTACCCAATAAAAGGTGACAAAATGTCAAAAAGCGAATTATTTATCAATTAATAATTTTAGTATGATAAACTGTGAAATAATAAGTATTATCTACCTACATCTATTATTTACCATCTCGTGTTAGTGAAACTAACCATTTTGATTTCCGTTCGAATGACATTATTATAATCTAATGTACTTAGTACTTACTTATTATTCAGTGTATATTTTCAGGTATTTATAGATTTTTTTTTATTTTGATAAGCATTGAATACAACGTAATGTTGCTTAATTAGCTGCTTACTAGAACGGAAACTTCAAAATAATGGAAATGTAATCTAATTGTATCTATGTGTAGGTATAGCGTATCCTTATTATTGATTTGTTTTCGCGAAGATGACAAATGTTAATATTTGAAAAAAAAGAAAAGATATTATTAATTAACACAGTTGTAATTTGAAATTGTGTTCGGAAACATTGCAAAAGTCGTAGGTAATTTGTTTTCGAGTGACACACACACGCTACGGGGTGATTTTTGGCTATTTCGTAGCGAAGGTGGTGTTGACAAGGGACCAATTTATATGGGGGAAAAAAAAAAAGTAATAATAATGAAACGAAGAGACGGCAGAAGAATAGTATTTTGAACGTTATTGCGAACGCAATTAGCTGGTGGCTGTATAGGTATACGTAACTAATAACGCGCAGACGACACAGTTATTCGGTTCTGGATGTATTATTTTGCATTTTGGAATTGTGAAAACTCGTTTGTGCGAGGTAGTAATAACGAATTCCGATGACGGGCGTTCAGCCGTATTTGCTATTCAATAAAGCGCCGAAGACCCCGCGCGGAGAAAGTGATAATATTGTTTATTATACGAGTTTAAACAAAAGTGTGTATTTCGCTTTCGTGTCGTGGACCGGCCATATTTTATTGTTGTACATCGTTTAAGGCAGCCATAATACATTGAATGATATTACGCGAACTCTTTTGTTTGCCTGTGAGTTTATAGCAGTGGCGTATTTTTGGGGGAAATTAGGGTGATCCAGCTCGCCCTTTGACTGTTTTATTTTATTGTCTATTATTTATTCGATTATGTACATATTTTTTGAATTCAATTTTTAGTTAGTACTCAGATGAATGTACATACGAGCCGCGGCGTGGTGAACATTTTAAAATCACGATGCCCAACATATAATTATGTATACCTACCCACCTCCATAGACACCCAGAGAGCGTTTCCTCTCCTCCCCCTTAGCTTTTAATATTTTTTTCTTTATCGAATTATATATATATATTAGTGGTACTTAACGCGGGCGGTAGGTTAGATTAGATTTTAACGGTGTGTTGGGCGGGTGGCGAGCTTTTAAACGCGAAATGATGGAAAGGCCACCAGCGACACATATTCGTATTATCACACGTGAAATCAGAATAGTTGTGTATAGAAGCATGACGCCTAGGCACCATAAAACCCTTTCACCACGCCACTGCCTACGAGTGCATGGAAAAAAATCTGAACGTATACATTTTCTCGTTTAAAACGAACCCCTTTAACACGAACCAGGTTAGACCAATGTTCACATATATAGTAAATAAACTAATAATAATTATCAACATCTATCTATAGATACATAGTATATAGTTGTATAGTATCTATAGGACAGATTCAATTATAAATTATCTACACAAATAAATAGTCAAAAATCAATGTATTTTTTTTTTCACCCTAATAGGTTGGTACGTGTTTTACGTAAAATATGACACGATTCATGAAACAAATTCCATATTCAATATTTCTCTCCATGACAAAATCTTGAATTCGCCACTGAGTTACAGATATATTATAATTAGTTGTATAAGTTATATGTAAACAGGACAAACTATATTGTAGAAAAAAAAAATGAACTTGTATTTATTCGGGTAGGTGTAGATATATTAAATTATTGCAGGTTACGTTCGAATTAAATTCACTAATAAAATATATATTGTAAAATCCCAATCAAATAGCGTGACAGCGCATAAAATTGTGCGGATTTATTTTACGAATGAAGGTCGGGTTTCGGTGCTATATTATTTTTTCGAAAATATCACTAATTCACAAACTCTGACAAAAAAAAAATGTCTTAAATTTCACTCAAACCTTCTGCATACTATTCATGATTAAGTAGTAAGAATAAATCGGTAATATTTATTTCAAATCATATTATAAGAAAAATAGGTAGGTACAAATCAATTTCCATTTTAGAAAATCAGATTGATTTTGAATCTTTTTAAACATTGTAAACGACAAAATATTAAAACATAATACCTACAATAATTTATAATTATAATATTTTGATTGATTTTTTTTATGGTATTAATATAATTTGAATTTTATTTAAATTTTCACAGATTTGCGGTCCATAATACTTCATATATAAGGAAACAATATTATGTGTTTATGGCAGCCCAGTAAAATAAAATCAGCTGTTTATGAACTAAGCCGGGTATTATAATTTATAAGTAGTTTAATTATGAAATGTTGCTTTTTGTATACTTTTCATATAACTATTAATTGAATATTTCATATTTTCTCAACACTGTTTTTAACTCGCACGTAGGTTTATAAATCACACGGACAATCACACTTGATAGCACTATATTTTTTGTATTTTATATTTTTTATTAATTTATATGATTTCAGATCACATGAATAGTATACACTATAATATTATGTGTACTATTAAACTTGAGAGTATTTTTTGTAGACATGTATAATTTACTATTTAAATTAATTATACTAGTAAGTATATAGACATATTTTAAATTATAATAACACATTCAGTAATTATTTATTCAAAATGAATACTGTAAAAATAAGGTTAAGTCGTAATAATTATTTTTAACTCTTAAGCTAATTAATAATTATTAGCTCGTATCTTTGGTGAAATTAACTACCTACATGATATGTCATTTTAATTTCAAGATTTAGAAAGACGGATAGTAATAATTTGTTTAGATTTGTATGTTTGCCAACTGAACTTTTTTAAGGATTTATGTTACCTATAATCTTGTTTTGCATAAATAATTATTTCTCCCTAATAATTTTCATATTATCTACTTGATAAATGAACTCTTGCAGCAGCAGCAATGGTCAAAATAAGTTTTATTTATTTTAATACCGAATGTACGTAAAATCACTAGTATTTAATAATGTTTACAGTGACTTATGGAAATTTCAGGTTTTGTATTCGATCAAACCGTGTTTTTTTTTTTTTCAAACGACCAATTAGCAAAATTTAATTCGTTAAAAAAAAAATGATAAATAAAAATAATGGCTTGTTAACATAATAATACCTATACAATAACTATAGAGTTTTCATTCAAAGTGAAGAAACTCTTATTTTTTTTTGTCTATTCATTAAAACGAGTATAAATTATACAAAGAAGAAAAATTTGGAAAGACTGCAAGCTGCGTTTACATTTTTAATAAATACATAATATGATTTTTGCTGAAAATTATTATGTATCTACCGTAGTTTGTATTTATATTGGCCGATATTATACCAAGAGTATTTGGCGTAACAATGCATTTTTTTGTCAAGTAATGACAATCATCGCTTTCCCCCGATACTTTAATGAGAACAGAATAAGAAAAAAAAAAACTATACAAAATACATATTATTATTCTACGGTACGCAATTTTCACGATCAAACAAATTCATAATCGAATTTTAACGACTAAACGCGCCGCTGTATAAAAGTAATAGAGCTAGTGGAATATTTATTTTTCTCACCGGTCGCCGAGTTAAATGTTGAAAACATTATACGAAAAATATCTCGAATGAACTAGTTTTACGTTATAAATCACAGGTTAATATTACAAGATGTCACTGTATAAATTCCGTGCTTCCCGTTCTAAAGTGAAGTATACATAATATATATTATGTACTTGAATACAAGTCGTTTAAGATTGCTCGTAATAATGGGGTTTTTTTTTTTTCAGTATTAAATGAATTAAAAATAATATATAGAAGTAACGCAATATTATATTACAGAAAACTTCTATACATTGTTTTGTACCCTTTATCGAGAAAAGTTTATATTTATTAGAGAGAATTTGTTTGAACGCTTGTTAGAAAAAAAAAAAAAAAAAAACTCACGTTGAATCAGTGACTGCTTGAATTCATGTCACGCGCGAGACAACGGACAAAATTATTATTTGCACCACCCAAC